CGGATTTCCAGAAAATATTGCAGACTAAGAAACCGTTTGTGCTTCAGTTTGAGATTCAGACAGCACAGACTGTGCAATTTTCAACAGTGAAAGGACACAGGGCAGAAAACATTCTGCAGCCAATTTGCACTTCTTAGATGACTCTGAGGACACAGTTAAACCTCCAAAATGGTTTCAATGACTCTCTAAAGGAATGCAAATGACCATCTGTCTTCAAGCAATATAAATCCTTCCACTCCCCACCATCTAGTCAGAGATGAAGAAGCTTCTTGGATGAGAAGCAAAACTTCTTCAAAAGAAACACAAGAAAGTCCAGTTGCCTTCTGAAAAGAGCATCTTTTTTTTTTTTTACAAAATTTTATTTAGAATACAGTTAAAGAAACATTGGATATAGCGCGACATTCCAGTATATACATTCTTATCAAATTATTCCACATTTTACAATCGATTCTTCATCTCTAAATATACATCTAAATTTTATATACAATACTTAATCTATTTCTCTATTTGCTAACCTAAAATTACATATATTTCTATCTTAACGCTAGTGTGAGATGTAAAAAGCCCAAATTTTGATACTCACAATACGAAGACAAGTCTGGTTAACAAAACAAAGGTTTATTGGAAAATAACATACAAAGAATAAAAAGAAAAGAAAAAGAAATATAGAAGAGAGGAGCGTTTGCAAACACGGCCCCCTGGAGCCTTCCCCTTTGGATTGGTTTCCAGGAGCACATTGGCCTGGTTTTGCATTTTGCATTTTATACCCCTACACATCTGAGAAGCTCTTTCATCTTTATAAAGTACTTTGAAGTTGTACTTTGTTAACCTGACCTCTTCAGTCCATCTGCTGTTATCTTGTTTATTTGTAATTTTCACCTAGGGTCAAAATCCCCCTCTTTGATAGTAGGATTTCTACTCAAAGTGTAAGTTAGTAAACATTTGGTCATCCTGTGTCCTGAGAATTTTTAGGCAGGAAATCCTTGCTGATTACCATTTGTAGTCACTTTTACATGGGCAGGAAACAGTAAACATTCCTGTTTCATTTTGACATTACCTTGTTACATTTGCGTTACAGTGTTACATTTGTACTAGAAAGACAGTTTCATATAATGGCATTACATTTCTACAATTATTTCTACAATTATTAAAAGAATAACTTTTTTATTTCCTTCACTAGCCTATAATCCCAACCGTCCTCCTCGAATCCCTCCAGCAGTAAAATTTATTCCAGGTTTTGAAATAAACTGATCTACATTTGTCTTTCAATACCATTGTAAGCCTGTCCATTTCTGCACATGATAATATTTTATATAGTGTCTCTTCCTCTGTGGGAATTTCTTTGCTCTTCCATTTTTGCGCGAACGCTAGCCTAGCTGCAGTCAAGATATGTAACAGCAAATAGATTGTTCCATTATTGTATTTCTCTGTAGTTATTCCCAACAGGAAAAGTTCAGGTTTTAACTCTAAGTCCAACATTAATATATCTTTCAGCCATCTTCATATCCTATTCCAATACTCCCACCACATATGATAATATGATCCTATTGCTGTTTTACATTTCCAGCATAAAGGTGATATGTTTGGACCCATTTTTGCTAACCTTGTGGGTGGGAAGTGCCATCTATAAAACATCTTATAGAGATTTTCCTTGTACGAGGTAGCTAGAGTGAGTTTCCTATTTCTTTCCCACAGTTCTTGCCAAATATGCCGATCGATACTGAAACCAAAATCCCTGCTCCAAATTAGCATAGTCTCCTTGACCTGTTCTTCATACATTGCCTGATCTAAAAGAAAGTGATATATATTTTTAATCATTTTATCTTCGGGCCCTAATAATATTTTGTCTAGTTCTGTCGGTTCTATTTTTATACCCCACACTTTTTTGTCTTTCCTATATCTTGTTTGTAGTTGGAGGTATGCCCACCATTCTAATTCTATCCCTGCATTTTGAAGATTTTTCCTCGATTTTAATTCTCCTCTCTCGTCTAATATGTTTTTATAAGTTATTACCTTCCCTAACTGGATAAACATTGGGTGTATATACATTTCTAATGTTGAAATCCAATTGGGAACTTGCCTATAATTCTGTTGCCGGATTTTGGTCCATACATCTATTAACGCCCGTCTAATGTAGTGCCTCTGGAAGTACTGGTGAACTTTATGTTACTCGTCCCATAACATAGCGTGTGCCATCCAGTCTGCATGTCATGACCCTCCAATTTTAATAATCTCCGGTTTTCCAATCGAATCCAATCCCACACCCATAGTAAAATTGTAGATTGATAGTATTTTTCCAGGTCAGGGAGACCAAGACCCTCCCTTTCCTTAGCATCCTGTAATAATTTTAATTTAATCCTTGCTTTTTTTCCTTGCCAAATGAATTTAAGTATGGATTGGTTGAAATTTCGAAAAAATTCCTTTTCTAATTTAATTGGTATACATTGAAATAGAAATAATATTTTAGGTAGTACGTTCATTTTGATTACGGCGATTCTACCCATAAAAGAGAGCTGAAGGTTTGTCCAGGTATCCAAGTCAGTTTTAATCTGTTCCATTAATTTATCATAATTGTCTCTTTTAATTGTCACACACCTAGCTGTTAATTGTATCCCTAAGTATCTTATTTTCTTTGTGATCTGAATGCCTAATCTATCAGCTAGTTCATTTTTCTGTGTTCTAATCATATTCTTCATGAGCATTTTAGTTTTTTCCTTATTTATCTTCAGGCCTGCCATTTCACCATATTCACCCAATACTTCCATTAGCCTTATCCCCGATTGTAGTGGCTCTTCAATTATAAAAACAAGATCGTCCGCAAAGACTTGCAATTTGAAAATTTCTCTCTTGATCTCTAAACCTTTAATCTGCTCATCTTTCTGAATCATTCTGTTTAGTACCTCCAGGGATAATATAAACAATAGTGGAGATAACGGACAACCTTGCCTTGTACCTTTTTGGATTTGAAAGCTTTTAGTAGTTTCTCCATTAATTATCACTTTAGCTACCTGTTTGGAATAAATTGCTTTGAACATGTTTATGAAATTCTCCCCAAAATCCATGTATTCCAATTGGTTAAACATAAAATCCCATTTCACATTGTCGAATGCTTTTTGTGCATCAAGAAAGATTAATCCCATTTGTTTTTCATTGTGAGCCTCATAGTATTCCAATATGTCCAATATGATCCTGACATTATTTCTTATGTATCTTTTGGGTAGAAAACCATTTTGATCCGTATGTATGAATTTTACTAAGAATCTTTCAAGACGTTTTGCCATTATGGCCATGAAAATTTTATAGTCCGAATTTAATAATGAAATGAACGCCAAATCTGAATTATCCTTGGGGATCAAAGTGATAGTTCCTTCTTCCCATGAAGTTGGAATTTTCACATTCTTCAAAACCTCGTTGAATAGATCTATTAATATTGGACTTAGAGATTCTTGCATAATTTTGTATATTTCTATTGGTAAACCGTCCGGACCTGGGGCTTTATTGTTTTTTTTGTTTCTTAATTGCCTCAGATAGTTCTAAAGGTGTTATCTCTTTGTTTAACATATTTTTAATCTCTTCTGGAACTTTCAGTAGATAAGCTAATTGCAAATATTTTAGTATATCATCATTATTTTTCCGTTCTACATCTTTATATAATTTCTTATAAAACTCATAGGCCACCATTTTCTTCCTTTCATTCTGATATACCAACTCTCCTTTTTCATTGTATAGTTTGCTAATCCTCTTCTGAAAAGAGCATCTTTGAGGCACTCAGTTTGTTGCAAAAAGCTTCTTTGAGTGATTTCCCTGTTTGCGAAAGAATTATTATTTCAAGGAAACTTTTTTCTTATTTTGGGAGACTGCTCCCTAGTTGATTTTATTTTTTGGGGAGGAGGGCTCCCTACACATGTGTCTGCTTCCACATGAATTCATGCTGGACCCTTTTTTCCTTCTAACCATTCTGCTCTGCTCTGTTTCTTCCCCCTACTGATGGCAATGGCAACAATAGAGGCATTCAGGATCAAATATAATTATTTCATTTCAGGTTTATTTCATATTTCATAGCTAACATTTCCAGGGTGGCCAGAAGCAAATATTATTAGTGTCAATAATTACTGCATTTGTGAATACAATTTTGCATGGCATGAGACACTATACAATAAGAACATCACTAAAAATTCAGATCCTAAAAGGCTATACAAAAGAAAACTACAGAAACAGTATTCCCAATTGCCCCTGGGAGCCTGAGTGAAGGTAACAACAGGTGGTCAACCTCAATTCTTGTGCAGAAATTTCCCAAGTAGAAGTGGTCTGCTCAGAAAGCCAGACCCCTGCTCATGTACAAGCATCATAAAGAACAATAGGCAGATTTACCTGAGTCCCAGTTGTGCTTCAGACTTCTTGGTTTCAGAAAGGGGAGAACCTAAGAGCTCTAAAGCAAGCTAAGCATCTTACTGAACAGAGCAGATAGTAGTGGCCAGATGTGATATGATCACCAATAGACACAGCAAACATTGTCTAGCAAATGCATTTTGTGCTGGTTGAACATTCCCCTTTTTCCAAAGCACCCCTGGAGCAGGAGAACAAGTGTTAATTAAGGCCCTGGACACTATGGCTTTAATTGATTTCTGTAAGAACTTTGTTGGGGCCAGTTCTAAGAAGAAAGCCATGTCTTTCTTTCAGCAATCTTTCTTTTAGTGTGTTTAATTTTGGCCTGCAAAGTAAAGGAGAAGCATTGCAATGTAGGGCACTATTCCTTTAATAGAATTATATGCAACTTGAGAAGCCAACCTGAGGCCATACCATTAGAATCACTTAACAACAAAGCAGATCTACATAATATTTGAGCCAAGCCAAGCAAGCTGCTGATGGAGTATACAGGAACCCAGAATTGGATAGGCTACAAAATTCAGACCTACCAAACAGTGCCCATGGTGCTGCTTTTAGCTGCATCTGCAGGCCTGGAAAAAGTCCCTTGAACCTTCACTCCAAGGGCTGAGTCCTCATACGCAACAGCAGAGAGTTGAGCAATCCAATTTTGCAGGGGATCCCCCATTGCCTGCTTTCTTGTTCACTTTGGGGAGGAGGAGGACAAAAGACATGGCCAGAGCACAGTGGTAGAAGCTATGCACGTAGGTGTAATCCCAGTCCTAGGAAAAGGCAAAATTGGTCACATCAGCATCAAGAAAGCCACATCTAGATGCTGCATATTATTCTCTCTGTATTCTGGATCTCTACTGCATTTGTGGAATGAAAGAAAAAAGCTTGAAAGGCATTTTTAAAAGAGAGAGAGGGGTGGAGCATCCTTAGGCTAATGATGTGGGTCCTAGCCTACCCTTATTCAGACAAGATTTAAGTCCAGAGATCAGTGATTTCTTTGCACATATGTCATCATTCTACACCATCCTTTATGTTAGCCAAGAATCAGCCAGGAAATAATTCCTTGACCATAGCTTCCCATTTGGCTACATTGGGAAAATATGGTTATTTCTTTTGTATATCAGAGAGTTTCAACTTTCAACTCTTTTCCTGGGACAGCATCCAGACAGCTTGATTCAAAGATTCTAGGACCAAAGGGTGTCCTCAAGGTGAAGAATGGACAAATTGCTGTGAACAAGAACAAAACCTCTTCTAGGAAACAAATGGGTAGCTCTTGGATCTTAGGGAGCTAAATAAACATTGTAGGAGGAGAGCTACATTAGTCTCTATGAGAAATAATCCTTGGACCCAGAGCCCCTGGGGTGATTAAACTGCTTAAGGATTTTAAGGTGGATGAGCTGATTGGGAGGGCACTCCGTGTTCCTGAAAACTAGTGACTTTTAATGAAATGGTCTTAAGAAAAGATCCTACCAAACCTCTCTTGAAGGCGCCATGTGTGTGGGTGTAGGAGGGCCATCTCAGAGGCAAACCTAGAAATACAAGTATATACATTTCCTTATCTGCATCACTGCATATCGATTTTTGCACCTTAAACACTGTTGGCAGGAGAGGGGGAAATTCAGTCTTCACCCTCCCAGAAACCTCACTATGGATTGCTAGATTAACATCACCATCAGCAACGGCAGGAGACTATTGCTTTCCTCACTGTTTGCAGCCCAGCTGCACTTTGTATGTTGTTTGTGCTGCAAAAGGGTGTATGTTTTGCTGGCGGAGCAGAGGAAGAGCCAGGAGTGTTCTGTATATGCCACTGCTGCTGATTATGCTGTGGAAAAATATGCATTTTCCCTGCTAATGAAAGTAAAGGAATGAAAAGAAGGATTAGGGGTGACGTGATAGCAGTGTTCCAATATTTGTGGGGCTGCCACCAACCTATTTTCCAAACACCTGAGGGCAGGGCAAGAAGCAACAGATGGAAACTTATCAACCTAGAATAAAGGAGAAATGTCATGACAGTGAGAACAATTCACCAGTGGAACAGCTTGCCTCCAGAAGTTGTGGGTGCTTCATCATTGGAGAATAGACTGGACAGCCACTTGTCTGAAATGGTATGGGGTCTCCTGCTTGAGCAGGGATTGGACACTAGAAGACTTCCAAGGTCCCTTCCAACTCTGTTATTCTGTTAAGGAGTCACTTTCAGAGAAGTAAATCCCTAAAAGTCTCAGATTAAGCATATCTCATTGTTGTCTCCAACAATCCTCTTGTCTATATCAAGCCATCTTTTGCTAAAAGATTTGAGTAGTCTTCTCATCAGAAACTCTGTGAGACATTCTGGGGCCAGGGACAGATCCATTATTCTACTAGTCATCCTGAGCACAGAGCTCCCACATCACCAACATCTTATCTGGAATGCCTTGACTGCCTGCGTGCATGGATCTCTGCTCCTCATACTTCAATATTTGTAATTTTGGCTCAAGCCGAAGATTGCCAAGGGAACCATATGAAGATTAATATCCTTCAGCTGTGTGGTTTCTGATGGCAAATTGAATATTTCCTGTTTTTTCCCATGAATCATTTTGCCTTCAGAGATCCAACTGCCTTGAACACCATGAAAACCTTCCCTGCCTCCTCCTATTAAAGTGCCCCTGGATCCAAAACCCGATTCTGTGGGTAGTAAGATTTGAGCTGCCAGGTCCTTTTTGTGTGTGCCCAGCGACCAGCAATTGTGCTGACCAAACAGGGTTGCATGCTTAGTTAGGGTGCCAAGCTGAATACAGTTACTTCACCATATTTAAATCTATTTTAAGTCAATTTTTATGGTAGGAGGTTGGATGGGATGTCCTAACAATGGCATGAGTCTTATTAAGTCACTCTCACATTAATGCCTGTAAATGCCTTAAATGTTAAATGTGTTTTATTGGTTTATTTCTTTTCTATTTAGACCTTCGCCTTTACTCTCATAGCCTTCTGTTTCTCTCGAATGCTCAAGTTTTCCCAATTCATGAAGTAGCCCAACCAGCACCACCTTTTGTTCTTCAGGAGGTCATTGAGAAATGTATGCATAAGTAAGAATATGAGTTGCATATTTATGTGGTTTAAGACCTCCACGGCCCCTTCCAGCCCTATGATCCTATGATTATATGTTTTCTTGACAAACAGCTCTGCCTGTGTTGCATATAACATCCGGACTTAGGTTTTGGCCTTGAAAAATTTAAGGATCACAGCTACAAATTCCCATCCCTTAGTTCTTGTTTTTAAGAGTTCATGATAGCCATTAAGGATTTTCATCCACAATCCATTTTTAGTACTTTGGCTTCCAAATATCATAACTTTGGACTTTGGAGAATTTATGGCACTTTAGGCACCTCCTTTGACATTTCGGCTCCTGAACAGAAGCTCAAGAAGCGATGATCACCTAAAACAGTGGTTCTCAATCTGTGGTCTGTGGACCCCTGGTGGGGGCCGCAATGTCACCACAGTGGATCTGTGAAAGTTTGAAGAAATGTTATGATTTAAATCCTGAGTTATGTCTGGGGGGGTCCATGGGCATGGCCGGTAGCCACAAAAGGTATTTAAAGGGGGTCCGTGGTGAAGACAAGGTTGAGAACCACTTACCTAAGAGGAAGTTGAAGCCTTCGCCAAAGTGCCATCAAAGGAATTTCCTCAAGCTCTCAAGCTTGGCCAGACCAAAATGGAGGCAACTGAGAACGGCCTGGTTGTGACAAAGGATCAGTGATAATGACCCTGATTCATATCATGTAACAAGTATCTCAGCACAAAAGCCAGAGGCAGGATGGGACCACCTAGCTACTCCTGGACCTGATGTGCACTCAGGTATTATGCTGAGGGGAGGCAGGTGGAATCAGCCAGTAGCAGCTGGAGCAGTTTGGCCAAGGAAGCCTTTGTGCCTCAGAGACACCTGTGGAGCAAGAGCAATGATGCCTGGAGCTGAATGCCTGACTACCTGTTGAGTGGTGCCTGCGAAAACTCTTAGGGCTTCCCAAATGACCCTAAACCTTCCTCCACCGTTATGGGTCGAGAACCAATGCCAGAACCCCACCCCAGAATCTCTTGAGAGAGGAACTGCCCACTGGGAGTCTTGATAATGCCTCTCCTCTGTGATTTGGAGGGGGGAGGCCTGGCATTTAGCAGCAGGAGCCACCAGAGACCAAGACTGCCAAGGAGTTTCTTGGAACCCAGGAACTGGGAATTGATGCCGTGTAAGACGTCAGGTCTGCCTTCTCCTTTCCTGCCTCTCTCCCTGATCTGAATATTCCCTCAGTTCCATAAGCCACAATGCCCAGCTGCTCATTCAGATTCTCCAGTGCCAACTGTCCCAGACAGCTGCATCCAATTGCCCTCCACAGTTCTCACCACCTGCCCCTCAGCACAATATCCACCACCTTCCTCTATCTGTCTGGCAGATCCTGCCTTCACAAGCTAAGATAGCAGCTCCCTCTCCCCAGGGCAGCACAAGCTGACTTTTCTCCCCTGTGCTGTAGTCCATGTCCATCCACAGCCATAAAATCTTCATATCACAGTTAAAGCTTATCTGACTTAATGATTTATAAACCAGTCGAAGGTCTGGCCAACATTCCAAATATTCTAGTTGATGACAGAGGAGGCAACACACAACTGTGTCAGTTGACACCCAACCATCAGGACAGTTGTAAGACTCTAGTCAGTATTTTGCTTGCCAGGCAGCCTAATTTCAGAAGGAAGTCTACACCCTCAAAGCTGGCACGCCTCCAGCTTCCACCATGCCAAAGATTTCCAGACTTTTAAAGACACTATTTGATGACCACCTCCTCCTCCTCCTCCTCCTCCTCCTCCTCCTCCTCCTCCTCTTCTTTCCATAGAGAATTGTTTCTTATTCTGGGACAGGAACATGGAAAGGGGTCTTGCCTGTCTAGCTCAATATTGTCTTTGTTGGCTGGAACTGACCCTTGAGAGTTTCCGACGACTAGAGACTCTCCCAGGTTTCACTGCATAGTTGGACTTTTACTTTGCAATCTTCTGGATAAGGGTCTGCTCTTCTCTTCCTCGTAGAAACAGAGATAGAAATAAGCTTTTGCAAACAGAGTCCTGGAGTCTCTGGGTTTTTTTTTTTATTTGGTTGGCTATTGCTTGGGGTGTTTTTTACTTCCACACTGTTCAATAGCCAGTTTTTTTGCAGTTATAAAGGCATTATTTAAATTTTACTGTTAATGAAAGGAATAGTGCATGAGAGGATGGTAATATCTAAGTAACCACATGCTATATTATGGCAGGATCAAAGGGAGGAAGGGAGGGAGGGAGGGAGGGAGGAAGGGAGGGNCTAAAAGATTGGGAAGAGAGCATTAGTAAGACATTGGTATGGTAATCAAAGTCAAAAAGGTTGAGGAAAGCTTTTTTATTAGTACATTCCAAACCAAGTCTGGGTGTTAATTTTATTTTGGGAAGGAAGAAAGGGGGGGAGGGAGGGAGGGAGGGAGGGAGGGAGGAAGGAAGGAAGGAAGGAAGGAAGGAAGGAAGGAAGGAAGGAAGGAAGGAAAGGGAAACCTGCAACTTTGCTTAACATTGGTGAAATATTGGAAGATATAGAGATATAGAGAGATATAGATAGATGAGAGAGAGAGAGATAAATAGAGATAGATGATAGATAGATTCATTCATTCATTCATTCATTTTTCTACAATATGTCTTTGTTGTCCCAGTCATAGACGCCTAAGCTAGCCATAATCATGTACACACAAACTCCCCCCCCAATAAATGATTTCAATGGAAATGAGAC